TGTGGCTCAGTGGTAAAGTGCACCTGGATTCAACCCCTGAACCACACACATCAAAAAACAAAACAAAACAAAAAAACCTGGGAGAACAAATACCTAGATGTCATTCTTTACCATCTGATCTGGYGGTGCTCCTATTGATTGTATCCAAGCAGATGGCAAGGGAATGGAGAAGATTTGAAAGGGTCAAATAAAAAAGACTCCTGCCTTTGTGGAGTTCATGGTCTCAAAGGGAAGCATATATTAAATACAAGTTAATAAAAAGTTGGAAACTGACCAAAAAGTGTTTTATATTGTACCCTCTTAAAAAGTATGTCTTGGGCTAGGGTTGTGGCTCAGCAGTAGAGCGCTTGCCAGCACGTGCGATGCCCTGGGTTTGATCTTCAGCACCATTTAAAAATAAATAAAATAAAGGTATTGTGTCCAACTACAACTAAAAAGTAAATTAAAAAGTATGTCTTGGCAACCTATTGTGATTTTAATCGAATGTCATTTTAACTTTTATTTTGAGAGATGTGTCTGGGATGTTGCAGGATGAAATAAAGTCCAGTAAGACAATAACTCAGTGGGTACTAGGTTGAGCTTATTCCACTAGAGGTCATTGTCTCATTTTTATGTAAAAGGGCTCAAATTGTGTGAAGGAAAAACTGTTAGAACTGATTTAAAGGAAGCTCAGCAATGTTACAGAAAACAGATCAAGTATAACATGCCTCTCTTGTCCCCTGCACCCCCAGTAATGGGGGTTGAACTCAGGAGTGCTCTACCTCTGAGCTATATCCTCAGCTCTTTGATTTGTTTTTGTGTTTTGGGGGGGTACTGGGGATTTAACCCAGGGGCAATTTACCACTGAGCCACATCCCCAGCACTTTTTGAGACAGGGTCTCACTAAGTTGCTGAGGCTGACTTTGAAGTTGCCAGCCTCCTGTCTTAGCTTCCCAAGCCACTGGAATTTCAGGTATAAGCTTCTGAGCCTGGCCCAACTTTTTTTGAAACAGATCCTGCTAGCTAAATTGCCCAGGCTGGCCTCTGATTTGCAATCCTAGAAGCCTCAGCCTGGGATTACAGGGGTAGCTGGAATTAGCCACCAAGCCTGGTGCATATATGATCTTAGTGCTGCTTTTATTTTTCTCCTCCCTGTGCTGGAGATTGAACCCAGGGACTTATATGCGTGAAAGGCAAGACTTGCTATACCACTGAGCTATGCCCAGCCCATGTTGTATTTTGTACACATCTGAAACCTAAAGCTCAGGATTTTATATTTGAAATATAATTTTATTTTGCAGTACTGGGGGCTTGAACCTGGTGGTGCTCTGCCATTGAGCTACATCTCCAGTACCCTTTTTTTGTTGTAGATGGATACAGTACCTTGACTTTATTTTTATGTGGTGCTGTGGATCGAACCCAGTGCCTCACAAATGCAAGGCAAGTGCTCTACCACTGAGCTACAACCCCAGCCCCATCCCCAGTCCCTTTTATTTTTTGAGACAAGATTTTGTCAAGTTGTCTGGGCTACACTTGAATTTCTGATCCTACTGCCTCAGCCTTTCAAGTAAAGATTTATTACAAGTATGGTCTGAAAGCCCCAAGAAATATCAGAAAATCAAATTTCACAGTAGCTTTTGCCTTATTAAAATTGAGTTCTGCAAGGATGGCTATTTTGAAATGTAATAAAATAGTCAGCAAACAAAATTTACATAATCTTCTATAACAGATACCAGCATGATATCTAATAAAAAGCTCATTCCTGAACATCTAACCTAGATAGTACTTCTTAAGATAATGCCTATTATAAACCAATAATGTACATTTTCTAGAGACATTAAAATGTCTCATATTGTTCTGTATTATTTAATGTGAAATTCCAGGGGATCCAGACAAATTCTGCAAATGCAGGAACATGATTATGTTGTTTACTTGTATAAGCTTTTGCTCAGCAAAATTGTGTTTTCTTATTCCTTTGGGGTTTGTTTTTTGATTTGCTTTGTTTTTTGGTTTTTTGTAGTTTTGTAGTACTAGGATTGAGTCCAGGTCCTCTACAACTGAGCTACATCCCAAGCCCCTACCCATTTTTATTTTGAAAGAGGGTCTAAGTTGCCCAAGCTAATCTTGAACTTGTGATCTTCCTGCCTCAACCTTTAAAGTAACTGGAATTATAGGTGTGTGCTACTATGTCAGACTTTCAGAAAGTGACATTTTAAACTTTGGTTTATATATTCCACATATTGTGGGGAAGATTAGTATATAATGAGATTGAATTTACAAGTTGTCAAATGCAATTAATTCTTGGTATTCACAGCAGTTAACATGCTATAAAGTTCAGTGGTAGAGTGAATATTGAACCATTGTTGCTGGGTAGATTCCTGCAAGCCTCTCATAACATTTTCATTACTTTGTTTTATGTGTTTCTGTTTGAAGACACTTTACCTAATATATAGTAATGACTTATGAACATTCATACACCAATTAATGCCTGAAGGAAATTTATCTGATATACTTATTTTATCTGAAGGGCACATCACAACCTTTTTGAACTAAGRAACACCAGCTACCACTACCCCTGGAGGCCATTTTAGACAACAGAACTGAAAATAAATAAATAAATAAAACCTAGTTCTAAAAAGACCACGAAAAGGACATTTACCTAGTGTGAGAGCTAAAACCAGAAGGCAACCTCCTCTGGGGAGATGCAAGTCAGGTGATAGCATCACAAATATTGATTTGGGGTTTATAAACAAGTTTAGCAAGTAGATGACTTACAGAGTTTGTGAATAATTAGGATTTGCCATGTATAACATTTTGGTAAGACTGTACCTAAG